GACATTATCTCTGTGTAATTTGTACCGTCTGTGAATGTGAGACATTATCTCTGTGTAATTAGTACCGTGTGTGAAACTCAGACATTATCTCTGAGTAATTAGTACCGTGTGTGAAACTGAGACATTGTATAATTAGTACCGTGCGTGAAACTGAGACATTATCTGTGTAATTTGTACCGTCTGTGAATCTGAGACATTATCTCTGTGTAATTAGTACCGTGTTTGAATCTGAGATATTGTCTGTGTAATTAGTACCGCGTGTGAAACTGAGACATTATCTCTGAGTAATTAGTACCGTGTGTGAAACTGAGATATTGTCTCTGTGTAATTAGTACTGTGTGTGAAACTGAGACATTGTCTCTGTGTAATTAGTACCGTGTGTGAAACTGAGACATTGTCTCTGTGTAATTAGTACTGTGTGTGAAACTGAGACATTGTCTCTGTGTAATTAGTACTGTGTGTGAAACTGAGACATTGTCTCTGTGTAATTAGTACCGTGTGTGAAACTGAGACATTGTCTCTGTGTAATTAGTACCGTGTGTGAAACTGAGACATTGTCTCTGTGTAATTAGTACCGTATGTGAAACTGAGACATTATCTCTGTGTAATTTGTACCGTCTGTGAATGTGAGACATTATCTCTGTGTAATTAGTACCGTGTGGGAAACTGAGACATTATCTCTGAGTAATTAGTACCGTGTGTGAAACTGAGACATTGTATAATTAGTACCGTGCGTGAAACTGAGACATTATCTGTGTAATTTGTACCGTCTGTGAATCTGAGACATTTTCTCTGTGTAATTAGTACCGTGTGTGAAACTGAGACATTATCTCTGCAATTTGTACCGTCTGTGAATCTGAGACATTATCTCTGTGTAATTAGTACCGTGTTTGAATCTGAGATATTGTCTGTGTAATTAGTACCGCGTGTGAAACTGAGACATTATCTCTGAGTAATTTGTACCGTCTGTGAATCTTAGACATTGTCTCTGTGTAATTAGTACCGTGTGTGAAACTGAGACATTGTCTCTGTGTAATTAGTACCGTGTGTGAAACTGAGACATTATCTCTGTGTAATTTGTACCGTCTGTGAATCTGAGACATTATCTCTGTGTAATTAGTACCGTGTGTGAAACTGAGACATTATCTCTGTGTAATTTGTACTGTCTGTGAATCTGAGACATTATCTCTATGTAATTAGTACCGTCTGTGAATCTGAGACATTATCTCTGTGTAATTAGTACCGTGTGTGAAACTCAGACATTATCTCTGAGTAATAAGTACCGTGTGTGAAACTGAGACATTGTATAATTAGTACCGTGTGTGAAACTGAGACATTGTCTCTGCAATTTGTACCGTCTGTGAATCTGAGACATTATCTCTTTGTAATTAGTACCGTGTTTGAATCTGAGATATTGTCTGTGTAATTAGTACCGCGTGTGAAACTGAGACATTATCTCTGAGTAATTAGTACAGTGTGTGAAACTTAGACATTGTCTCTGTGTAATTAGTACCGCGTGTGAAACTGAGACATTGTCTCTGTGTAATTAGTACCGCGTGTGAAACTGAGACGTTATCTCTGAGTAATTAGTACTGTGTGTGAAACTGAGACTTTATCTCTGTGTAATTTGTACCGTGTGTGAAACTGAGACATTATCTCTGTGCAATCAGTACCGCGTGTGAAACTGAGACATTGTCTCTGTGCAATCAGTACCGCGTGTGAAACTGAGACATTATCTCTGTGTAATTAGTACCGTGTTTGAATCCGAGATATTGTCTGTGTAATTAGTACCGCGTGTGAAACTGAGACATTATCTCTGAGTAATTAGTACAGTGTGTGAAACTTAGACATTGTCTCTGTGTAAGTAGTACCGTCTGTGAAACTGAGACATTATCTCTGAGTAATCAGTACCGCGTGTGAATCTTAGACATTTTCTCTGTGTAATTGGTACCGCGTGTGAAACTGAGACGTTATCTCTGAGTAATTAGTACTGTGTGTGAAACTGAGACATTATCTCTGTGTAATTTGTACCGTGTGTGAAACTGAGACGTTATCTCTGAGTAATTAGTACCGTGTGTGAAACTGAGACATTATCTCTGTGCAATCAGTACCGCGTGTGAAACCGAGACATTGTCTCTGTGTAATTAGTACCGTGTGTAAAACTGAGACATTGTCTCTGTGTAATTAGTACCGTGTTTGAAACTGAGACATTGTCTCTGTGTAATTAGTACCGTGTGTGAAACTGAGACATTGTCTCTGTGTAATTAGTACCGTGTGTGAAACTGAGACATTGTCTCTGTGTAATTAGTACTGTGTGTGAAACTGAGACATTATCTCTGTGTAATTTGTACCGTCTGTGAATCTGAGACATTATCTCTGTGTAATTAGTACCGTGTGTGAAACTGAGACATTATCTCTGTGTAATTTGTACCGTCTGTGAATCTGAGACATTATCTCTATGTAATTAGTACCGTCTGTGAATCTTAGACATTATCTCTGTGTAATTAGTACCGTGTTTGAATCCGAAATATTGTCTCTATGTGATTCGTACTGTGTGTGAAACTGAGACGTTGTCCCTGTTTAATCATGTTAATCAATAATTGTTTAAAAGTTAGGTTCATTTAATGCAAAAAAAAATATAGAACATATTTAACAATATATTATTATAAGAGGATGACAGACATGGAAACGTTCCTTGGGTTAGAAAATTGTAATTGTTGTGTTAATAAATGGAATTTGAGTTCAAGGCTGGAGCCCTTTATGTGTATCAACAGTAATGCCATGCTTCGCTAACTGTGGGCTCAACATAAATTCCTATTCATTATTTTTACAGATATTTGGCGTAGAAACATATTTTGGTTGGATCAGGGTTAATAAATGTCGAAATAAATACGATCAATCAGTATGTGCAATGCATATGGTCCTATGTTGTATTTTAAATACCTTACTATATATTTTTGGAACATTCTAAATAAATGTTACAGTACTTGAACAATTCTCCCACAATAAAAATGTAATGTACATATTTTGTGCAAGTAGTTTGAGAAAAAGCAGTGTTGTAAATTGTAATATGCCTGCAGCGCAACTGGCCGATGCCCTATATTCAATAGACCGCCTCGTGGTTTAGTGGTAGGGCGTCCGCCGGAGAGAGGAAGGTCCGGGGTTAAATCCCCGGCCGCGTCATACCAAAAAACGTTAAAGATGGTATTTCACAGATAGCACACCTATATCGGGCCGACGTTGGCTATGCATCGGCAACCGCCGGCAATATCGTCATCGGCAAACTGCAGCGGTCCGCTGTCGGGCCAATGCTGGTGATTGGCACTGACATTACTGAACCTGATATATGATTTGATTTTGTTAGAATAACATAAAACAAAACAAAAACATTTGTCGATAACAATGTGGCAAATATTAGATCTAATATATTTACGAATAATACAATAATTCCATTCGAACTAAAAATATTAACTTTATTTTTAATTTTGAAATGAAATAGATCAAACACATACACTGACCATTTTGGCTGTACATATACGACAGAGAAGATACAGACGGGATTCGTCACATCTTACAATTCATTCTGCAAATTACAAGATGTTGGCAAAAGTTTGAAATATCGCGATCGGTTTTGTTACGTTGGTCCAACGTTTTCACAACATGCTTCAAGGGAAGCTACTCTTGTAATAGAGGGCGCTGTCACTCACGCGCGTCTTTTCAAGCAGACGACGCGAAAGGATGATACTTGGGCTGAGGGAAAATCTTTTTTTGCGGTAAGTGTTTACTTCATTACAGTGTTTACGAGGTGTTCAATTCATTTTCAAACCTTACAATTGAAAAGAGAAACAGTGTTCATTCAAAAGTGTCAACGTGAGTAGAGAAATCTAGGCCTTTATGTTTTGGAAATTAGAGAAACACACTGCCTATTTTACGCCAGTGACAAAATCCGAGGAATATGTCGTGACACTGCATCTTCACTATTTATATTTTTTAAACGCCATATACATATTTCTAGCAAAACGCGGGGACACGGGCAAATGCAAAACGTGACAAGATATGTTTTATTTTCATGTACGATGTACAACCCACGAGTCACAATCCCGGGGTGAGAGGATGACAGCGGCAAGCAAATGAATAGCCAAATAATTACTTACATTAGCAAACGCTGGGGCGATGTTGGGCCGTTGCAGTGCCGATGTAGGGCCGATGAGGTTTGCCGACGTTGGGCCGATGTCGATCCGATAAGCAAAACTTCATCAGCCCGATGAAGTTTGCCGACATTGGGCCGATGGTGTAGCCGACGTTGGGCCGATGCAGGGCCGATGATGGTATGCAACCTGGGTTGTTGTTACCCTGTTACAATGTGCTCGGCATTAAGGGGCTTAAACAATTACTGGTTGGCTCGGAGTCAGTATTCTGTGTCTGAGTGGGATATTCATGTTAAACTGCGGTATGGTATCTCAGTGAGCTAGTACTATAAATCGGCATCAGTCCGGACTAGTACAACCAGCCACACACACACACACGCACGCACGCACGCACGCACACACTCACGCACACACACACGCACGTGCATGCACGTAGCTATATAAGTGCAATAATCATGGACGCGACGTTAAACGCAATTTCACCTCACCTCACCTGTATTCAATAAAGAAATCATGAAGATATTGGTTTTGAGAAACGTTCTTAAGGATTCGCTGTGATTATGATTCATGGCTTTGTTAGTACCAAGATATGATCCGCTTCACTGTGGGCATCCCTTCCATATTAAGCTAACAAGCGGTGCTATGACTGAAAGTAGTGTTAAACCCAACTCTCCCCCCCCCCCCCCCCCCCCCCCTCCCTCATCCATTCACTCACGCTGACTACTGACACGATGTCCTCAAAGATAAAACATATTTATCTATTCTGAATCAACCCAATGAATGACCGACGAAGTGCCTATTACTTATAAACCATACAGAAAGCCTGAAGCTGGTAGAGAAATGAAACACAACTGTAGTCAACTTCTTTATTATACATCAATGTTCATTGTCTTCCATTAGTGCCATGTTAAGAAGGTCACATTCAACACACCTCGAATGTAACAAATTTCACATTTGTTCGACATATTTATAGCTGCTGCTCTGATCAATGCTGACGATGAAGACACAACACTCATACAAACTAAACTCACGCTGTTGCAGTGGTTCCAGTATGAGATTCTTCAGATCAATACAGTCGTTGCTTGGTGTTAGCATTTTGTCACATCCATATTCGTTATATCCGAGGTCCATGTATTTCTGTCCATCATACACAGACCAAAAGTTTTAGACTGTGTCGTCAAGAAACCGTCTCCTTCTCACCCCTCAGACACCTTGAATGGTCACGAATTTACTGCATGCAATTATCAGCTTGATAAGGAAATTGAGTTCGTGCGCCTGGAATAAAGATTAAGGCTTCCCTAAGAAATTTGACCAAGTGACCGCAGACTTGTTTGCGCAGGTCGTTTGTTCGTAATTTCGTTTGCGTCAAAGAACAGAATCACTCTTTCTGCATACCACGACCATTCTTCCTTATTTTCCTCAAAATCACCGATGACTCCCGCCATTGTGATGATCAATAGCAGTCCCACCATCATTTGCAAAACCCGCACTGCTGAATTAAACGATGTGGATCAACAAAGGCCAACTGTAAAATTCAACCTTGCACATCACGTAATATTTCCGTACTTTGAAGTTTTTATCGTCGTCGCCACTGTAGTGTATTTGTAAGACTGTACATCATGCACAGGTACTTGTACGACCCACACCTAACGTAGGAGGAACATCAAGCAACAGCCTGGAATAAAGATTAAGGCTTTCCTAAGAAAATTGACCAAGTGATGTCCAGGCTGAGACACGTACAGATAGATAATATTCATAATACTGACCATGCTCCAAGGATGTTAAACAATTTCTAGATAGCTGCGCCCTTCACATATGAGACTGACTGAAATCAGCACTTTACGTTTTAATTACCCAAATATAACACAACAAAGGCTATAACCGCAGTTAACTTTTTAATAAATATTGAGGAAAAAATTACCAATTTTACAAATATGACAATACTATAGTTTATACTGAACTGCTGAAGTCCGATAACTCCTTGATGGCTAAGCACGCCGGGAGGTAAAGCAGTCTTCCTCCACTTTACCTCGTTAAATATTTTTGTCTGTCTATATATCTTACGTACAGAAGATTTAAGAAATGAACGACAATACGATTCCAATAAAACAAAAAAATGTTTTATTCAACAGAACTTATGATGTCGCTTGCTCGTTTGTTGAATACAATGTACAAACAGAACAACATGCCTTAGAAATAGATTCTCCAGTGAAATGTATATAAATCATAACATATATCATATATCTTATATAATGTATAATCCATCTTCTAAATTTACTTGTATGTAAACAGCACTAACTAACTGTTAAATAATTAACAAAAATCAATGAACACAGGCAAATAAATATTTTCAGAAGTTAAAATATTCATCTTCTCTAAGCATCAATTTAGTGAGTAGGGTTTAACGCAGCTTTTAACAGTATTTCAGTAAAAGCTGGTCAGCTTGATGTGCGAAGAAGGCCCCGTGTTAGTCAGGTATCAGACGTTTACCACTTTGGCGAAACATATGAGCACATGTTTTGTGCTGACAAACCTGGAATCATAATCAGGGCCAATCTGGGTTTCGAACTCATGATCATAGGAGTTAGGCATGCCAAAGGGACGTAACTCTGCACGGCAATTACGACACCTTAGACGAGCTGGCTACTAACATCACTTTAATGATATATATCTAATTGCGACCCGAGTTCACTTCTATTCTGCTTTTAATTACTTGTTTCAGAGCTTCAGATGTGACTGAACCACAGATTCTCAAACTCTACATTTTCGCCCACGTATATACATTATACGTCGTACTATAACTGGAATACTGTTCAAAGCGACGTCAAACGCAACTGGCACACTCCCTATACACCGTTTACTATTCGGTGTATGAAAACACGAATGCTTAAAGCTCAAGCTCAAAAGAACAGCTTGAAAAGGTGATATCCATGTAAAAGTTCAAACCCAGTACTCATGCTTTAACCACTGGGCCATCCACACACACACACACACACACACACACACACACACACACACACACACCTTTTCAACACAGCCTCTAGAGATCTGAAATGTTCTTCATCACTTGATCCAGTCATCTTGATGACACACTACTTTGTCCAAGCCTTGCAATATCTGGTCCATTGTGGCCTGAAATAAGGCTGGTGCAGAGGCAATGCCAAAAGCAAGACGGGTATACCTGTAGTCCCTCGGTGTGTTAATTGTCAAACACTTCTGACAATCTGTATCAACTTCCATCTGTTGATATGCATGTGCTAAGTCTATTTTGGAAGCAAACAAATCTTCTATTTTGTGCAATGGGTACTTGTTAACATTCAACACTGGGTTCACTGTAGACTTGAAGTCCACACAAATTCTCACTGTTAGATCCCTTTTGATAACAGGTACAAATCGGAGTTGCCCACTCACTGTGATCCACTTTAATCAATACCCCATTCTTCTCCATTTGTGTAATATCTTCCTTCCCCATGTCCTGTAAAGCATAAGGTACCGGTCTTGCCTTTCATGAGCCTTCCTGAAACTCCCTCTTAAACAGACAGGTGAGCTTTAATACCTTTAATTTACCAATTTCTTCAGAGAAAACATCACAGTACTTCACAAGTATCTCTTCCAACTTTTCCTGACTTGAATCTTTTCTACACATGTGTTTGTCATCACCTAGCTTTTTCCAATCAATGTCCACATATAGTAGCCATGCTCTACTTAGCAAATGGGTCCCTTCCCCTTTTACAACATGCAAATCTAACTTGTTCACGCCATTCCCATTTACAACATCAACCTTCAGTATGCCAAAGTTTGAAACAACTGTGTAAGTTCTCGAGGTACTGTGGACTCGTCCAAGTGACAACCATTAAAGCAATCCTTGTACACTTCTTCAGTTATGATGGAATTTCGCGAACCAGCATCTAGTTCCATTCTTAGGTCAGTACCGTTCATGTTGACTGTGACCCACATCACCCTAGAACTTCCGGGTATAGCAAACCTCTGACTCAAACACTCCGATAAATCACCGACGATGAAATCATTATCATTGCCAGTTGTTTCAAAGGCATTTACGTGAGAATTGGGTTTTTTACCGCCATTGCCATAACTTGATCCTGGGTCACGACCCGAACCCTTCATTCGACAAACTGCGTGCAGAAGGCCTCGTTTGCTACAGAACGAACACACTGTATCCTTCAGTCTACAATTGTTGGCAAGGTGGAATGAGTTACCGCAACGATAACAGAACTTAGTGCTTCCAGTCCTAGGTTAACTGTTGAACTAAAACACCTCGGTAGATCCGTGTCTCTTGTCGCCGCCTCGGCAAAGCTCGTCACAGTCCTTTGCCGCTAATTCCATAGAATTTGCAATTGCCAATGCCTGGTCAACAGTCAGGTCATTTTCTGCTAACAATTTCCTTTCAATTGGAATAGTTCTCAAACCAAGCACAAGTTGGTCCCGCAGACTTGTTTGCGCAGGTCGTTTGTTCGGAATTTCGTTTGCGTCAAAGAACAGAATCACTCTTTCTGCATACCACGACCATTCTTCCTTATTTTCGTCAAATTCACCGATACGCCCGCCATTGTGATGATCAATAGCAGTCCCACCATCATTTGCAAAAACCCGCACTGCTGAATTAAACGATGTGGATCAACAAAGGCCAACTGTAAAATTCAACCTTGCACATCACGTAATATTTCCGTACTTTGAAGTTTTTATCGTCGTCGCCACTGTAGTGTATTTGTAAGACTGTACATCATGCACAGGTACTTGTACGACCCACACTTAACGTAGGAGGAACATCAAGCAACAAGACATCAGGTACATAGTCATGACGTCACTGCCGATGCTGGGGCACGTATGACGTATGACGTAGTAGCGCGTGCACATTGGCGCTCACAATATGTAAACAAACCAAACACAACACAGACAAGCCGGTGGTTGACATCATGAGCACCGATCTACGCAATTGGGATACGATGACATGCATCAACAATACCATTGCAGTTGACATTAATGATACCCTTCACACATTGTGCCCGTGTCGTCGGCGTGGGAAACAAACGCTTTAACCAATAGGCTACACCAATGCCTCACACAAATAGGACACTACGCTAAATATTAATAACATAATTTATGATGTATAAATCCATATGTGGCAATAACGTATGCGTCACAAGAGAAGTTATGATCTGAAAGGACAATGTTAAAATCGTGTTTTCTGTGCCAACAAATGTCATTCGACATGTCTCGAAGATGCAGGTGATTCTTGCTTCCTGGAAGCATCGGATGCCACTCAGTCCAGGAAGTCTTCTACAGACGGCATTTCCGGGTCCAGACCTTTCCGTTTCCTAATGGTCTTTATAATGGCTGTAGTCTTGGAGCGGTAGTCCAGCGGACTGCCGGCCAGTGTCTCCCAGTGTCCAAACGTGCACTGCACCAGTCTCGCGGCGTGGTCAGTTTTGGATGAGAGCTCCTTATCTAAACCTGAAATGAACAAGTTTTTAGTTCCCGTATTAGGTCAATACTGTTTCCAGTCGTGTGGTTCACTGTCGGTAGTAGTTCCAGGAATATTTGTCAGTGATTCAGGTTATACTACAGAATATTTACAAATAGATAATCTTCTGCCTTACAGAGACATATCGTTTTCCATAAACACCTGGATCGTTTCACAGGCTTCTGGAGTTACAGATTTGAAAGATTTAGAGAAAACTGATGCCCATAAACTTATGCTACTGACGGAAGTTAAACCTACTCTGCTCGGACTGTAGTGGGTCATGAACAACAGAGTGGACATTAAACATGAGATGACTCTAAAACCAACATTGGCCACACATCCGGCTACACAGAAACACATCTGATTTAAATCAACGGAGATATGGATGCGGACATTAAGAAGCACAAGACTTGTTTGCCCTTAGCGACGTTCCACAGAGCGACGTAGTACCAAGACGACCGTAGCTCCCATACTTAAACACAGACGTCAGTCGTAGCACCAATTTTGTTTTGTGGAACGGCCCAGCAGCTCCCTATCACAAACAGGCAACACTAACACAAGGATAGCAGTTCACGTATATCCATTGTTCGTGTGACCTACCGAAGGCCTTGCTGACGGGGATGTCTGCCTCCATGTAGTAGGTGTCCCAGTCCTTGACGCTCCGCTCCTTAGTAACCCGGCCCTGGCGACCGGTGATCACCTCGAACACTACAGGGGAGACGGACTCTGGACACTGGAACAGGGAAATCAACTTCCATAAAACCACCAGCCTACAAACTGTGGGTTCTCCAGGTTAACACTAGTTAACATAAAGAGCAACAACAAATTGCTTACAGGTTTATTCCGCGTGGAAGTTTCGGGGTAGCATATAGTAACCATCTCTCGTCCAAAAGCTGCATAAAATGAGAATAGGTGTGACTGCGTGTAACTGCGGTCGTAAGCCCAGGCTATGCGCACCTGTTGTGAGATACCCATTGATATGATGCATGGAATATCGGCTCTGATACCCGTAACAAATACATCACCATCGAACAGCCATTTCACATAGGTGTATATTTTCTTTTGCCCGGCAGTTTATTTGAAATGTCATCGCCCATGATGACACATAACAATGCTTTGACACAAAAGTTTCACATGGAATCCCCGTTTTGAGCCAATTCAGGAAACGTACCAAGTATGTGAACAACAGGCACAAACAAGACCATCACTAGACACAGAAGGATATAAAAGTGAGGACGCACCTCCAGGTAGGTCTTGAACATGGGCTGCATCAGTCTTGGTTTGGCTCTGAGTGTGGCTGCACTGAGCGCCCTGGCGGCTGCAGGGAATATCTCCTTGTTCCCTCGTTGCGTCTCGTCCGCGTGCAGCAGGACCTCGTGCAGGTTGAAGCGGACCCCTCGCATCTGTTCCTCACACAGCACACCCTGCAGACAACAGCTTCAATCAGAGGTCCCGTCATTACACAGATCGCAAAGGGTAAACAATAGTTGAGTGGTTGGGTTTAACTCCACTTTTGTCATAGATCATTACCATTAAGGTGAAAACCTCAAGCACGGGAATGGTGATGACAGACCAAAATTACGGATTATGGTAAGGGAGGCAACTCTGCACAGCTCATTGATGTGCGTTACCATTTGATGTTTCTAGGTTTGTCAGCACCATGCCCGTGCTCGTTTGTTTCACCAAAGTGGTAAACGAATAAGACCCACATCACCTCTGGCTCTGCTTCCACATGAAGCTCACTAGTCGTAATACAACAGTTACTGCAATAATGTTTAAAGGGGCGTTAAACCCAAATCCCACATCCAAGTTTTAACACGTGTCAAAGTAGCCACCTTCTTTGTCGTCCACTGGAAAGCTGCAATCACGGTGGGTTCTATGTCCTGCAGGTACTTGGGCTCTCCCTTCGTGCAGTCCATCAACAAGTTAGGTCCAACCCCCTCCGGCCCGAAACACCAGATCTTCTTAGCATACGTGAGATTAATACTATATTTACCGTCCAGGTACAGAGCGCGTTCTCTAGCATCTTGAAACGGGGCGATGACGCCCTGCAAGAGAAACAGCAACTCTACAGAGTAAGAGACTTTACCGTCCCTGCTGGAATATATGATGTCATAGATATATTCGCAGTGAAACGGTGAAAACATCACAGGACTATATTCCGTTATGTTATTACTAAAATAACGAGGGTGATGGAGTAGTTTCGTCTAAGCGTTCGCTCGTCACGCCGAAGTCCGGGTTCGGTTCTCCATATGGGTACAATCTGTGAAAACCAACCGTGTGTCCCCCGCCGTGATATTGCTGAAATATGACAAAAAAAGCAGCAAAAAACCCAAATATTTCACTCGTTAAAACGCGTCTGAAACTGCCAGTTGACCCTCGGTTATCCATACTAATTAGGATTCACTATCGAGGGCATTTGTACCATTTCAAGTGTTTCAAAACAGTTTTGCCATACAATTGCAATACAGGTACAAATTATTTAAACATGATTACAAAACCTATCAAGTCCTTCACGCCGAAGACCCGGGTTCGATTCCTGGCATGTGCACAATGTGTGAAGTCCATTTCTGGTGTCCCCCGTCGTGATATTGCTGGAATATTGCTAAAAGCGGCTTAAAATCAAACTCACTCACTCACTCACATATCAAGTCGTAAATTCATGACATTGTTAGAACGTTAAGAAAGGTATATCTTTGATCAACACGACTCTAACAGTTAAAGAAAACAGGCATTTTTCCTTGTATTACGTAAATCGATACGATCGATAGTGTAGCTGTGCCTTAAAACAATACGCTGGGTGTGGGTGTCTAGTCACACTAGTCTACATGCACTCTTTCCTCCAATTTATCCTGTATCGTTTGTTTCGGTTAACGCCGCATTCGGCAATAGATAGCGGTCTGTAAATAAACGAGTCTGGACCAGACAAATTAGTGATTGACATCATGAGCATCTATCAACGCAACCGGGATACGATGACATGCATCAACCGAATCACCGAGCATGAGCAACTGATCCCGTTAGTCGCCTCTCACGACAATTATGGGTTAATGAAGATCAGTCCAACCCGGATCTTCAGGGGTTTTCTATGCTTGCCGTAAAAGGCGACAACCCTTGTCGTAAAAGGCGACCACCGGGATGGGGTGGTTAGGCACGCTGACTTGCTTGATGCATGTCATCGTATCCAAATTGCGTGGATCGACGCTCATAACGTCAATCACTGGATTGTCTGGTCCAGACCCGATTATTTACAAACTGCCGTCATAAAGCTGGAATATTGCTGAGTGCGGCGATAAACAACAAACAAACAAACCAAACTGTAATAGCTGTCCAAGGGCAAACTAGTCTACATGCACACCTTCCCCCTGTCTAAACTGTGAAATTCCATTAAACCACAATCTAGTAGCCATTTATCGATTTCACATCCTACTGAAAATACGTCAGTATTCTCATTGTCTTCTCCATAGTTGGGTGGTTTTTATGCAACGCCCGCGAGGCAGTGAAGATATAAAGATCCACACAGCGTGTCCACATGCATGGAACTGACTGCAACGCCAACTATTGTTCATAGCAGTGTGATCACAGCGAGTTGGGGGTATTCGTAGCATGTGTCTGAATCGATTATTCCCTAATGATGCATTTCATGTGCTAGTGATATACCCGGCTGAACGACTCGTCATTCAATCTTGCCTTAAAATGTTAATGCAAAGTGGTGTCCCCGTAGGATAAATGGTCAATCAATCAATCTCAACGGCCATTGTGAAATGAATGAGCTGATAGATCAGCACTGAACAGTGTCTCAAGATTGTTGCAGAACGGGTATACATTGTATTAAACATTATTGTGTTAAGTGACATATCGAATACTTAAATTGCAATATTGGCAGTCATTGCAGTGAATAAGAATTTGTTAAAATAGATTTAGGTGCCTATTTCAGCAGCCAATACGTTTGATTGATATATTGTATTTTTGTAAAAAATACACCGTTAATCTTTTATACCCAGTTCCACCCCCAGCCCCACCTCCAGGATGTACAGTAATTAAATATTGATTAGTGTAGGGACATTATACATTTATGAAAGACAGCTGAATCTATACCTCACTCTGTGAGAGGAGTAACACTATCTGAAACAATATGTGGTAACCACAGCATTACATTTTCAATATCGTCGTTGATGCCGTTGGGGAGGTTTTGTGCCTTTAGGCAAATGTAGTTGCTGCCGTTGGGCGACTGCGACCGGCACATTTCTGTCGACTCCGCCGTCACAGTTTCTCTGTATGGAAGGAAGGGGCCCCTCGTCTTCACCTGAACTTTACCTAGTAGCTGGTTGAGTTGTTCCAGTGCTCGGTTGATATGGGCCTCGTTCACGCCGCTGATGCTGAGTTCTCCCTCCTGGGATAGCTCAGCCTGCAGATAATAATAATAATAATAATGTATACAGCAAGGTAATATAACTGTCTGGAAACTGTATTATCAGTTGCATCATCATCATCATCATCATCATCATCATCATCATCAATGTTGTCAGTCATATCCGCTTACTGATACTACCACGCTCCCCGAATGATTCCCCCATTTACCTCAAGTCGTGGATCTATTTTCTCCAGCTGCTTGATGCCCTTCATCAAAGTGGGCAGGTGCGATGGCTGTCGCGGCTCTATCCCCATGTTCACTACAGGGGGCACCGTGTATCGTATTGGCTGCACATGGAAGACAGGTGACAGTGTGTGAAGAGGTAGCGAACAAGCTCTATAAAGTCTTTGACATACATTTTCGCAATAACTAATGAATCTAAGAAAACTTGTTTCAGATATTGAGTTGACAATATTATTACCAACGGCACCTGATGCATGATACACACATTGGCAATAAAACGTGGTATTTACTTTAACATGTAACAACGACCGTGATGGTCAAGCACATACCTTGATGGCGTCTGTGTGTTGGTTCACGGTGGTGGTGAAGATAGTTCTGCCTGTTGGTTCACAGTGATGGTCAATATAGTTCTGCCTGTTGGTCCATGGCGATGGTCAAGCACATACCTTGATGGCGTCTGTGTGTTGGTTCACGGTGATGATCAAGACAGTTATGCCTGTGGGTTTGCGGTGATGGCCAAACACCTACCTTGAAAAGGGACTTGAGTGTTCGTGGTCATGGTCAAGCACCTACCTTGATAGTGTCTGCGTGCTGGCTCGTCGTGATGGTCCCCGACTTCATCAAATGTGTGTCCACCCCCAGCAGGCCGCAGATGTTTCCACAAGGGACAATATCCGTGTCCATTGGCACACCGTTGTAGATCACACCCACACTGAAACAGCCCATTTGAATACTACCGCAGTCAGATGAGACTTCAGATGTTGAAGTTAAATATTTGACAGGACAATCAGCAGCAGTAATACAGGAAAAGCCCATACGTCACCCGTGTGAATTCACCACGTTCCTCCATCACCGACCGCCTCCGTAGTCAAGTGGATAGAGCGTCTGCCCGGAGCGCGGGAGGTCGGGGTTAGATACCCGGTCGCGTCATATTAAAAGACGTTACAAAATGGAACTTGTTGTTACCCTGCCTGACACTCGGCATTAAGGGGCTAAAACAAGGACTGGTCGGCTCGGAGTTCGCATACTGTGTCTGAGTGGGGTATCATGTTAAACAGCACGCCGCTATATAAGTGCGACATTCTTAAACGCGACGTTAAACCCCATTTCACCCCACCTCCGTCATCACCCACGTAACCATAATGTCGCAGTGTAGTGTTGTCGATATAAATAAACCATGGTCTGGTGCCAGCGAGAGGGAATCTATCGGTAGCCCGGACCAGTGACCTCTCAGATAACATCGACCAATCGACATTTCTCGTGCTCTATACAGTTCGTCAGTATTAGGCAACTTTAGGTTTCGCATAACGTTCATAAGCGGAGTAGAGGTTATTCGACCTTCATGAGTTTATATGCGGCCTCATTTTCCATACTGGACACGCTGCAAAACACCCGACATCGTATGGAGCCTATTCACGGGTGATAGGTAGAGTATACAAACCCAGTCAAATATTGACGATTAGAAAAGTCTGGACATCGCCTTACCAATATTTGATCGGTCCCATTGTTGAATGCAGGCGCTTAAAGCCAAGTTGAGCAAACAACGTTCAGTTAGTAATATCCTTCAGTAAGCAGAGTTTAGCTATCAGTTAACCAGCAAACTGAACCTACGAGCTCGCAACGTTGCGCTACTCCTGATGTAGCGACCTGGAGCTGTCGTGTATATCTTTCCAGAAAGTGGATCGCAAAGAAGGACTTAGACACAGAATAGCAGATGAGGGTCTAGTATGGAATACTGTAAGGGACATTCTCGAGATCTCGACCTTTTGAAACGAGCTAAATATGCCAAAATTTCGAGAATGCGAGATCGCGAGAACGCGAGATTTGATCTCGCAGTGTGTGTCGTACTTTTGTACACAGCACATTTTGTCAAAAGTCGACAAGGCGAGAATGCGCTTTCCATCCACATGTCAAATTCTCGTGTTCTGAGAAAATGTCATAGCGAGAAAGTCCCTTACAGTATTTCATAGTCTGGAGAGACACACCAGAGAAACACAACACAACCACAGACACAGATCAACACAGTCCATTAACACAGCCCAGAAGAAGACAAAAGGTACTCAAATAACACATTCGGATGAACAATGTTGACGTCTGATTATGAAAGCGACTTTTTGCCAATGTACAGAATAGATTTCTTTTTAAACATGCTTTTGCTATGCTTACATTGCAGTGCTATCATGTTACACAGGACTCGGGGATCAACAGTTCACGACGTAGGGATTGATGTACATACACACAGGTACACTGGAAAGATCCAGATACAGGTGATTGGGCTGCCGAGGGGTGTCATTTACTACCATGAGTTCCACAGAGAAATATTTCGTCTTCAAGTCACAGAACGAACTACAATGTCAGAAATCTTTCGAAGAATACCTCTCGACAGTCTCCTCTTTTGATTCGTTCTTCTTCCCTGTTATGCTTTTTGGTCCTCTGACGTAAACCTTCTGCCCACTGCGGACGGTGCCAGAGTAGATGCGACCGAAGGCGTACAGACTTCCCTCCTCCGAGGAGGGCACCAAGCGGGAGATGTACATCATGAGACAGCCCTTGGGGTCACACTGCTTCATACCTGCAGGACATACACACACTGCTTCATACCTGCAGGACTAAACACACACTGCTTCATACCTGCAGGACAAATACACGTAAAGTTATACCTGCAGGACACATACACACTGCTTCATACCTGCAGGACTAAACACACACTGCTTCATACCTGCAGGACATATACAGACTGCTTCATACCCGCAGGACATATACACACACTGCTTCATACCTGCAGGACATATACACACTGCTTCATACCTGCAGGACATATACACACTGCTTCATACCTGCAGGACTAAACACACACTGCTTCATACCTGCAGGACATATACACACTGCTTCATACCTGCAGGACATATACACAGACTGCTTCATACCCGCAGGACATATACACACACTGCTTCATACCTGCAGGACATATACACACACTGCTTCATACCTGCAGGACATATACACAGACTGCTTCATACCCGCAGGACATATACACACACTGCTTCATACCTGCAGGACATATACACACACTGCTTCATACCTGCAGGACACATACACACTGCTTCATAACTTCAGGACACATACACACTGCTTCATACCTGCAGGACTAAACACACAATGCGTTATACCTGCAGGACACATACACACTGCTTCATACATGCAGGACACATACACACTGCTTCATACCTGCAGGACATATACACACTGCTTCACACCTGCAGGACATATACACACTGCTTCACACCTGCAGGACATATACACACTGCTTCACACCTGCAGGACATATAAAAACTGCTTCATACCTTCAGGACACATACGCGCTGCTTCATACCTGTACAAAACATACATACTGCTACATACCTGCAGGACACATACATACTGCTTCATACCTGCAGGACACATACATACTGCTTCATACCTGTACAACACATAGATACTGCTTCATACACATATAACACATACATACTGCTTCATACCTGTATAACACATACATACTGCTTCATACCTGCAGGACACATACATACTGCTTCATACCTGCAGGACACATACATACTGCTTCATTATTGTACAACACATACATACTGCTTCATACCTGTACAACACATACATACTGCTTCATACCTGTATAATACATACAAACTGCCTCATACCTGCATACCACATACATACTGCTTCATACGTGTATAACGCATACATACTGCTTCATACCTGTACAACACATACATACTGCTTCATACCTGTACAACACATACATACTGCTTCATACTTATACAACACATACATACTGCTTCATACCTGTATAACACATACATGCTGCTTCATACCTGTACAACACATACATACTGATTCATACGTGTATAACACATACATACTGCTTCATACCTGTATAACACATACATACTGCTTCACACCTGCAGGACACATACATACTGCTTCATACCTGCATATCACATACATACTGCTTCATACCTGCAGGACACATACATACTGCTTCATACCTGTACAACACATACTGCTTCATACCTGCAGGACATACATACTGCTTCATACGTGTATAACACATATATACTGCTTCATACGTGTATAACACATACATAATGCTTAAATACGTGTATAACACATACATAATGCTTCATACCTGTATAACACATTCATACTGCTTCATACGTGTATAACACATACATACTGCTTCATACCTGCAGGACACATACATACTGCTTCATACCTGTACAACACATACTGCTTCATACCTGTATAACACATACATACTGCTTCATACGTGTATAACACATACATACTGCTTCATACGTGTATAACACATACATACTGCTTAAATACGTGTATAACACATACATACTGCTTTATACCTGTATAACACATTCATGCTGCTCCATACGTGTATAACAAATTCACACTGCTTCATACCCGCATAACACATTCACACTGCTCCATACCCGCATAACACATACACACTGAGTTATACCTGCAGGACATATACACTGCTAAATAGCTGCATGTCAGATACACATTGCTTTATCCCTGCCCGACACAGACCCTCGTGTTTCATTGTGGCAGGGCAGGATTGGTTGTCACACTACCAACCTCTTGTTTTCATGCGTCAATATTGACTCAAGGGGTGAGTGAACGAGTGTGAAAATAGTCACCACGGTCTCCTGTACATAACAGAGTCCGGGTCAGGCAAACCAGATGTGAGCACCGATCCATAGCGCCGGGGTACAACGACAAACAATCAGCCTCATTCTGGTCAGCTCTGATGATCAGCTGTACGCTGTGGACATTCTGGGCCCGTTCCGCTAAGCCATTTTAGTGATACTGTGACACAGGCAAACTGCAGGCGTAGTGCTAAGATCGCATTGTGGAACGGGTTTCTACCCCGTATGTCCCAATGACTCGCCAACCAAATCATACATAGAAATACTGCACAAATAATCTATAATCAATTTGGAATACTTCATTGACATGATGGAATTGTTTTGAGATTGGGGAATTTTTAAATACAAATGACTATTACTTGTATTTGTAAATCGTTTCAAGTTTTAATGTAGCAAATGATTAATAATCACTTAATTCATTGGACGTATGCATGTATTGTGAACCTGTTAGTTGGTTGACATGACAAGATGTTAAAGAAGAATACACGTACTGGCTGCACAGTCGTCCGTCATGCTTCCCTCATACAGAATCTCCACCTTCCTGTCCTGGGCCGTGACGGGGGAGGGCAGGTGGAGCACCGTCATATCCAGGAGAGTTCGGCCAGCAGGAAGCCACTTCTTGAGGAGTACCTGTCAGAGGTCTCCATATGTTAAACGTCGTCAGTGGATTAACAGAACTGAGCGTATATATCAAGGTTGTAGTGGCTGACGTAAAGTACTCTTCCCGAGGCAAGGGATTTAACTGAATGTAAAAGTCAATTTTCCACCCTTGCCGAAGTAAGCTTGAATTTCTGGCTCGATCGTATCACCACCAGTGGCTATTACGATTTATGTCCCTTCTTTAGCCCTCCTTTTGACCAATCAGATTCCACCTCTCATACCACTTGCATTTGCTTTAAACAAAATGGCGGCGCCCAGTCAAGACGAACTGATCGATAATCAAAATCTACATTGTGATTAAACGGGTCTTACTTCGTAAAATGCAACAACTCGTGCGAGACCCTTGATTGGAAACATGGAAAGATTGGAAAGTATCTGTGGACGCCGAGTTGGCGGTACACATGCTTTGCAAATCCTGCAATCGACCGAAATTTGCACAGCAGTTTACGAACCGGATGTCGATTTTGTCACGATATTTTGATTGGGCTGTGCATAGACTCGTTGCTCCGGCCAAAATATAACTAGATGGGCAAGGGTGGAAACTGGACTTTAATAGTCAGTTAACTATCTTGCCTTGGGAAGATAAAGTAAAGTACAATGGTGAACGGCCTCACACAGTTCGTAATAATAACCCCCTATGTATCACACACGGGGCTTAGGTTAGCCTTACTCCTGCATAGATGTATGGAAGCGGGAAGACTATCTGATCATAACAGTGTGCCCGATCAGACTTGTTCTGGCCCATTATCCCCACTGGTTAGATATCTACCAACATCACTTAATACTATAGATTAATATGAACACCTACAAGTAAAAGGTCATTTCTTTTGAGTTGTTTCTCCGAGTCGGAGAGACTGAAGTTCATGGTGACGGCGAACTTCACGATGTCATCGCGACTCTTCCTTGTACAGACGTTGAACACCTGAAACATACGACAGTCTGAGATTATCACTACACGAGTGTGCGAGTGAGACTCAATGTGGCTTTAAGCCGCTTTTAGCAATATTCCAGCAATATCATGGCGGAGGACAGTGTAGGATTGGTGATGAGGAGAAGACACGACACGTGATGGAGGTACGTACACATGGTGTATACAAGCCCGTGAAGTATTGACGATTAGGAAAATACACTGGAACATTTGGAGGAACGTGAAATATTAACGATTCGAAAAAAGACAATACTGAATAAATTTTAGTAAGAGTAAGCAGTTTAGGAGAGTATATAGATTTTGAAAATACTGCAACAATTATCTCTTTGATCGGCCTCTTTAAATGGGACCGGAGAAAGCCTCTTAAGACTGAAAGAGCGTCGGATTAGGGGGAGAGGAAGGGGGGACCTACTATTTATAAGCTTGTAGGAACTTTATTTAATATGAAACTACAAATTTCAAAAGGGTGCTAATTTTCAGAGAGTTAATGAAGAAAGTGTCCTCCATATTCAATTAAGAGTGCTCACAGTGTATAGTGGCGTCAACACAAACTGTATGAAGCCTCGGGTAGTGTTAGGGTTTTCGTTGGTCGTCCACTTTCTTTCTCTTTGGTTGAAAAAGTTATTCCCCCACAGTTTCTCTTTCATGTCGTTGAACTCGATCCTGAATTTCCCCATGTACATTCGGGCAAACTCGTGAACTGTAAACGCCCATCCTTGCAATGCCGAGCCAAACGCGACTGATCCTTCACTAGGGGATACCTGGCGGGTGAAGAATAACCAAGAAGTACTTGAACATCGCATTGAAGATCTTAATGCCCCTCGGATAAATACTGCACTTCTTTGGTTTCAAATATGAGGAACCTCCAAGTATCTTTTGGAGTAAGTGACTTAAAATGTAACGTCGCATCGGCACTATTTCAGCTATTTTGCGACGAGAACAAGCAAATTTGGCACAAGTACGCTCACAGGTCACAAGTACTGAATCATATGATACTAGCTATACTTACTCTCGCGTTGGTACAAGTACGCTCACAGGTCACAAGTACTGAATCAAATGATACTAGCTATACTTACTCTCGCGTTGGAACAAGTACGCTCACAGGTTACAAGTACTGAATCATATGATACTAGCTATACTTACTGGTACGTTGGTACAAGTACGCTCACAGGTCACAAGTTCTGAGTCATATCATAGGATGCCAAGAAGTAAAAAGAAGCAGTTGAAAGGGCAAAGAAGCAGTCAAATAACGATTGGTGTGGAAATGTGACAAAACAAGTACCTAGATAATATATTTCGGTCTCTGTTTTGCAATTCTAGTACTAGTGTGAAAACAGAAACAAAAACATGTGTTTCATCTGAAAATTAATACTGGATACGATCTGGATTAAGTCATTTGGTGATACATTCCCAGTGATTATGAGGGGGCACGGGTGGCCCAGTCGTCGCGATACGCTGTGCAGAGTTGCGTTCCTTGGGCACATCAGAAACCTATGATTGTGGGCTCGAATCCCGGTTCGCCCCGATTATGTTTCTAGGTTTGTCAGCACCATGCCCGTGCTCGTGGGTTTCACCGAAGTGGTAAACGTCTGAGACCTGCATCACTTCGGGCTTTCCTCCCACATTAAGTTGACACGCCGTGATATAACTGGAATACTGTTAAAAGCGGCATTAAACCGAACTCACTCATTCCAAGTTATTATACTGTCCTTCGATGACAGATTTTAAAATATAGTAACATTGTATAACTTGCTCAAGTCACAATATGGCTGAATTATTGACGACGTGACTTTACAGTCTAACTCACTCATTCCGAGTGACTGTGTGTTGTCGTAGTGAATCGGTACTCACACTATCAACCACTGTTTTCCCTGATCCTGTCAAGAGATACCTGTACTATATCCGGCAACAAGGTGACACCAAACACCAAATTCCAAATAACATTCAAAATTCTGGTTTGGTTGACCCTTAAAAATAGTTTATACAAAGGTCACACATATATCTCGAAGTTCCTAATGCCTAGCTATACTTGTCTGCTTGACTACCTACCTTATATTCCGGCCTGCCGTAGACCTCGACGATCCTGTTGAATGTCCAGACATACTTGGCAATCAGCTTGTACAGATCCTCTGGTTCCAGCTCCAGCTCCATTATGGACACATCCAGGCGGTTCAGCAACAACACCGGGCGCGTCTCCTCCACAAACGCCAGCTTCAACACCGCCTCGGTCGGACCTCCTATACCTATACAATACGTTGACGTTTACTTTTGCGCTTAAAGGTGAGGTTAAATGGGATTTGACGTCGCGTCCAAGATTATTGCGCTTATATAGCATAGACGTGTGTGTGTGTGTGTGGCTGGTTAGCCATGACTGATGCCGATTTATAGTGCTAGCACACTGAGATACCATGCGGCAGTTTAACATGAATACCCCATTCAGACACAGTATACTGACTCCGAGCTGACCAGTCCTTGTTTTAGCCTCTTAATGCCGACGGGGTAACAACAAGTACCATCTTTTAACGTATTTTGGTATGACACTGCCGGGAATCGAACCACTGACCTTCCGCTCTCCGGGTGGTCTTACGTTTAAAGGCGACCATCGAGCGATACCCAATGCGTGACATAAAAAAGTCACTTTCCGCACACTACACCAATGTTATAACTACCAGATAGAACACATGTGTACAAACAACTCAGTGGCGCTAATAATAGCGGGATATTGTAAGTCTGCGGAGAACCAGTGCTTGGAATGACAACACTAGCTGACACTATTAAAACATTTTACTCCGTGACCAAAGTAAATTCTTCTCACCATGCGTTTGTTTCTACAAACGAGAAGTCCATAAACAATGCTAGTAAAACGCTTCCTGAATAGTTCTAACATCTGCCTTTTTGACACAATCCGAAGAGAGAAGGATAACTCATTTGAACTTTCAAAACGATTTCTAAAAGATTTGACCATTTCTTAAATTATGCAGATCCCCGTAACGAAAAAGGACCCTTTTTCTGACATTATTCTTTGGTTCTCAGATTTTAAAGCCAATCATTGATTGGTGCATTTTCACCCTATTATTGAAAAACGTCATATTAGATCTAGTCATGAATATGTTACCAGTAACGCAGTCTGCAACGACTATGCATCCATCGGTGATTCTGAGAGCGGAAGTGACCTCTGATGTGTTGTCCACGTGACCATCGGGGTCAATGAGGGTAATGAGAAATTCCTTGCTGCTGGTGTCCCAGTCAGTCACCAGCTTGGTGTCTTCATCCCGTATCTCGTAGCGGACGCTGGTGCACCTTGAAAACAGTGTGGGGATCAGTTGACGTGACAGTCACTGTGTTGTCAGTTGTGAAAGAATTGCCTTACCCTCACCTTATTCGACATACGTATACAATACTTGTTTTTATAGGTTTAAAATCAGGATTCGGCCGGTATTAAGTAAATTGTTTGATTTATGCTACCAGGGTATGCTGAGTCCAGGGCCTGTTTTATAAAGCGAACTTAGGGTAAAGCTTATTGAAAGCGTATTTAAAACGCACAATAGTAAAGTCAGTCATTGCGAAGGTCGTTGTGTATTTTCACGAGGTTCATGCATTTCTTGGGCTAGAATTCAGCCATATTACATAAGTTTGCCTCCTGTGGATTCCGGGTTAGAACTCGTTAGAACCCCAGTCAACTATGCTTGTCGTAAGAGACGGCTGGAAAGAATCGGGTCGTCGAAAACCTAACATAACTGAGCGTTAGTTCAGGTTATTGTAAATACGAATGTTCTTCGAAATTAACCAGTTTGTACCAACAACTGAAGCATAAGACCGATTTTCGAAGCAGTGCCTATTTTGATAATGATTGCCTTGTCCCTTCACGTTGATTTTCCAATAATCAGACCAGATACAACCGACGTTGTTAAATGTATCAGTGCTAAATTCCAGCGTGTAGTTAACTGAATGTGCGTTGCTATCCAGCCTTTGTCAGACCTCGATCCTATTGACAGAGGGTTTGACCATTGCCACAATCATTTAAAAAATCAAGACAGTGAAAATATGAACACAAATAAATCTAAACTAATGTCCAAAAGAAACCAGACCACACATTTTTCTAAATATTTTATTATGAAGAGTTAATTTTCGTCTGAAAAGGTACTTTTGCGTATCCTATGTTCCAAACCAAACGTATTCGGTCGATAAAACTGGAAACATTTGATCAATTGAGAAAAAAGCGTGCAATTTGCCCAAATGACGTTCCGTCCCGTAACACGAAATGCACGTGCATATCTTCTGTATAAAACTGCTGACCCGACACGTTGGGATCACAGCAACAAAAAGCACACAAAAGAAATGCCACGTTTGACAGCGATTGAGAGAGAGAGAGAGCCGTAGGAATGCTCCAACAGGGAGCTACGCAACGCGACGTCGCCAGAAGGTTAGGATGCGCGCGCATAACCGTCACCAGGTTAATGCAGCGGTTGCGTCAAACAGGTCGGACAGCAGACAGGCCGAGAACCGGGAGACCACGGGTGACCACGCCTATTGAAGACCGCAACATCCGGGTACTTCACCTTCGGAACCGCTTCGTAACGGCGACGTTAACGGCACGGACGGCACTGGGACACGTGATAAGTCGACAAACCGTGCACAGGAAGCTGCGGGCACATGGTATCCGAGCACGTCGCCCCTACCGCGGAGCGTTCCTGACACCTCAACACCGACTCAACAGACGGATATGGGCCAGGCGACTTCGACGGTGGCAACGGTGGAACTGGGCACGTGTCATGTTTTTTGACGAAAGCAGATTTTGCATCTTCAGGAACGACGGCCGGCAGCGTGTGTACCGAAGAGTAGGTGAACGTTTGGCACCGAACTGCATCCATTAAGTCATATGGAGGCGGAGGTTGAATGGTTTGGGGTGGAATCTGCGGTGACGTCAAAACGAGACTCGTCGTTATTCGAGGAAACCTGAATGCGCAGCGTTATCGTGATGACATCTTACAACCAGTTGTGGTGCCATTCATCCAACAACAGCCTAGTGGTATCATTTTCCAGCACGATAATGTGAGGCCTCACACGGCAAGGCTGACCCAGAACTTCCTAGCAAACGCCAACATTCACGTTTTACCATGGCCGGCATGTTCACCGGACATGAACCAAATCGAACACATGTGGGACATTCTCGGCCGCAAAGTCAGGAATCGCCCTGTGCCTCCAGTTAACCTCCCGGAATTGGAACAATGCCTCCTCCATGAATGGCAACGCATCCCCCCCCCCCCCCCCCCCCCCCAATGTCATCAGACGTCTGACGTCATCAGCCCTTAGACGTGTACTAGCGTGTTTTGACGCTCACTGTGGACATACCCGGTACTAACGTGACTTTGAGACGTGTGTTGTGACATTTTCCACACTTGACTCATCAACTGTGTTCAAATGAAATTTTCATTTTGGACCCCCCGCGTCTTTACATGTCTGTCCTCATGATTGTAAGGGATTGATTACAATGAATTTTTGTACACATACTGTGAAAACATGACTCCCAAGTCATATACCAATTTGAAATGTCTGTATCGTTTAGTTTTTTCGTAATGTCCTTTCAAACACGTGGTACCGTTTCTTTTGGACATTAGTTTAGATTCCAGGTTTTGAAGCGTAAAGTAATTAAAATCTAAATCCAATCATAAACTAACAAAAGTGCACAAACCGATTTTTGATGCTACTAGTTTATTTGTAAAATGAATGTAGATCGTCCCAGTGAAACCAATGGTTACCTCATTGAGGAACATGTGGTGGAGGACGACCAGACCGTGTACAGCAGTAAAAGCCTTTGAATACATGACGTACGGTGCATTGCCTCCCCCATTAGCACATTGAGACGAGGTTTTCATAGTCATGTTCTCCACCCGTGAAAATCCGGGTTAGAATAGATCTTCAGCAACCTTGCTTGTCGTAAGAGGAGACTATGCGTGTCGTATGAGGCGACTAACGGGATCGGGTGGTCAGACTCGCTGACTTGGTTGTTACATGTCATTGTGTCCCAACTGTGTAGATCGATGCTCATGATCTCTGGTCGAGGCTCGATTATTTACAGACCGCCGTCATGTAGCTGGAATATTGGTGAGTGCGGCGTTAAACAACAAACAAACAATGTCATGTTTCCATACCCTGAAGTACTTCATGCATAATAGTAGAACGACAATAAAAAGAGGAACAAGAAGGGTGGGTCAATAGAGTGCGCAATGACAGTTGAAACACATCAGTCTTCATTGCTTCTTTTCCCAAGTTAATCAATAAACTTCTTAATGATAAGCTTTACATTGTTTCATACGGTTTTATTTATTCGTGTTTGTGTAAAGAGCAGGTCTTAACGTACACTCATCGACAGTCACATTGTTCATATTATCGATTTGGTTAATCGATTAGACAAAGTTTGTTATTTGATTGCAAGTGATTCGGGATGATACACAAGAATGATTCCAAATGAGTCATTAATCACATGACTCTTGTCCATGTGTGGCATCGCGCAACGTCCCGAGGTAAAGGAGTTAAGTAACCACGAAAGACCAGTTTCCAGTAGAGATAGGGTTGCTTGGTTGGTCGGCACTCAGCAATATTCCAGCTATATGACGGCGGTCTGTAAATAATCGAGTCTGGACCAGACAATCCAGTTATTGACATCATGAGCATCGATCCACGCACTTGGGATCTATGACATGCATCAAGCAAGTCAGCGAGCCTGACCATCCTATCCCGTTAGTCGCCTCTTACGACAAACATAGTCGCCATTTACGGCGGGCATGGGTTGGTGAAGACCTATTCTACCCTGGATCTTCACGGGTCCACCTGTTGTGAGATACCCATTGATATGATGCATGGAATATCGGCTCTGATACCCGTAACAAATACATCACCATCGAACAGCCGTTTCACATAGGCGAGCCTGACCATCCGGTCCCGATAGTCGCCTCTTACGACAAGCATAGTCGCCTTTTACGGCAAGCATGGGTTGCTGAAGACCTATTTTACCTCGGATCTTCACGTGTCTATGGAAATAGGGGCAGTGGGGAAGCCTAAGTGACTAAAGTGTACGCTCGTCACACCGAAGACCCTGTTTCGATTCCCCACATAGGTACAATGTGCGAAGCCCATTTCTGTCATCCTTTTCACAGTCATCGGGTACCTCACATCAGCAAGTACTATTGTGAGCTTTTGGACACGCCACTAGAACTCGTTGTTAGCCGAGACAGTACACGCATATATCAATCGTACTACTTGTCGCGGACCACCTGATACCCCTTTCTTCACAATGGTACGCGCCCGTGGAATGACCTCATAGTCATACGGGTTAATTGTCAGGTCTCAACTCAAATTATCCTGGCTTACCAGTAGATCATCGATGATTAAACGTTTTGGGAAATACAACAGAAATATTTTTTGCCGATGTCGTCATAGCCGCAGTCGATTGTATATTTACATTATTAAAGGGCGTTAAATTAAAGTTAGATATATCGCCGTAGTCCATTCGCTCTTAAGAAAAAATAAACAGTGTTTCATAGCTATCAAACTTAAAATCTTTTTTCGATTTTCAAACAAACACAAGTAGAACAAATCAACACACTTACGTTGTTATTCCCAGTGGAGGGCCTTCATCTGGCGTATCCTCTTCATCCTCACTGTCAGTACCGCCATCATCGTCATATATAGACAGTCCATCCTCATCCTCCTCGCCCTCACCTCCATACCCCCTACTTCTTCCCCGCCTCCCCCCCTGGATACCACCATAAGAACTGTCATTGGCCCTGGCAATGATATCATTGGCGAACAAGGTCTTTCCTTGACCTACTTTGCCTACGACGCAGACGTTGCGAATGTTCTTTGTTCGACTAAGTAGCTTCTGTAGTTCCGCTGGGTCCAACTTCGGCTGTTGGAGAAAAAACACTGTATCATAATAAACAGGTAGGCCCAGAAATAGGTCTCCAAAAAGTACACATTATTGCGATACATCCGGTAACATCCATTACGACCGTTGTTACATGCTAGAAACATAAAACAAATATATTAGATTTGAGAGAGAGAGAGAGAGAGAGAGAGAGAGAGAGAGAGAGAGAGAGAGAGAGAGAGAGATGGCTAACCGTCTGTTGATTCCAGTGAAGATGTAAGAGAGGACTAACCCTCTTTTGACACCAGTACAGATGAAAGACAAGACTAACCCTCTGTTAATTTTAAGTACAGATGGAAGACAAGACTAACCCTCGGTTAATTTTAAGTACAAGTGAAAGACAAGACTCACCCTCTGTTAATTAAAGTACAGATGAAAGACAAGACTTACTCTCTGTAAATTTAAGTACAGATCAAAACAAGACTAACCGTCTGTTAATACAAGTACAGATGAAAGACAAGACAAACTGTCTATTAATTCAAGTACAAATGAAAGACAAGACTTACCCTCTGTTAATTAAAGTACAGATGGAAAACAAGACTAACCCTCTGTTAATACAAGTACAGATGAAAGACAAGACTAACCCTCTGTTGATATTAGTACAGATAAGGGGACTAATTCTCTGTTAATACAAGTACAGATGAAAGAGAAGACTCACCCTCTATTAATGAAAGCACAGATGCTAGACAAGACTAACCACGTTTTAATTAATGTGCAGATGAAAGACAAGACTAACCCTCTGTTAATACAAGTACAGACAAAAGAGAAGACTAACTCTCTGGTAATTAAAGTACAGATGAAAGACAAGACTAACCCTCTGTTAATACAAGTACAGATGAAAGAGAAAACTAACTCTCTATTAATACAAGTACAGACGAAAGACAAGACTAACCCTCTGTTAATACAAGTACAGATGAAAGAGAAGACTAACCCTCTGTTAATACAAGTACAGATAAAAGAGAAGACTAACTCTCTGGTAATTAAAGTACAGATGAAAGACAAGACTAACCCTCTGTTAATACAAGTACAGATGAAAGAGAAAACTAACTCTCTATTAATACAAGTACAGACGAAAGACAAGACTAACCCTCTGTTAATACATGTACAGATGAAAGAGAAGACTAACTCTCTGTTAATTAAAGTACAGATGAAAGAGAAGACTTACTCTCTGTTAATTAAAGTACAGATGCTAGACAAGACTAACCACCTTTTAATTAATGTGCAGATGAAAGACAAGTACAAATGAAGGACAAGACTAACCCTCTGTTAATACAAGTACAGATGAAAGAGAAGACTAACTCTCTGTTCATTAAAGAACATATGAAAGACAAGACTAACTCTCTATTAATTAAATTACAGATGAAAGACAAGACCCACCCTCTGTTAATTAAAGTACAGATATAAGAGAAGACTAACTCTCTATTAATTAAATTACAGATGAAAGACAAGACTCACCCTCTGTTAATTAAAGTACAGATGAAAAAGAAGACTAACTCTCTGTTAATACAAGTACAGATGAAGGACAAGACTAACCACCTTTTAATTAATGTGCAGATGAAAGACAAGACTCACCCTCTGTTAATTAAAGTACAGATGAAAGAGAAGACTAACTCTCTGTTAATACAAGTACAGATGAAGGACAAGACTAACCCTCCGTTAATACAAGTACAGACGAAAGAGAAGACTAACTCTCTGTTCATTAAAGTACATATGAAAGACAAGACTAACTCTCTATTAATTAAATTACAGATGAAAGACAAGACTCACCCTCTGTTAATACAAGTACAGATGAAAGACAAGACTAACCCTCTGTTAATACAAGTACAGACGAAAGAGAAGACTAACTCTCTGTTCATTAAAGTACATATGAAAGACAAGACTAACTCTCTATTAATTAAATTACAGATGAAAGACAAGACTCACCCTCTGTTAATACAAGTACAGATGAAAGACAAGACTAACCCTCTGTTGATGCAAGGACAGATGACAGTAAGAAAAAGACAAGCCAAAATACTACTGGATGCAACATGAGGTTCGCCCCACACCCCACCCTGTTTGTCAGGGGATCCTTCCACATTCAATCCCCAAACAAACTATGCACACACACGCCCGCACAAAGGCGCGCGCACACTCTAGCATATCTCCTCTTTCGTGTTTAGTGTACCGGTTATTACATTAGATTAACACGAGAACTTCAGACATGGATTCACCATTGCGCCATCATCGATACATTCATCATCACCATGACCATCATGATAATTATCATATTCATAAATACATAAATACAACAAAAGCCATGACGTTTTTTTCTGTCTAAAGACTCCGCCACTGCTACAAACCAGACAATCCTGATATACAGCATGCAAACTTACCATAATGTCGATGCTACCACTTGTGCCACCTCGATGGCGGACACTCTATAAGCACCTGATTGTGCGACAGCCTGGTTGTCTGGAATCAAGTTGCTTCTGAATGTTAACGTGAACGACGAGTTATATCGCCAGGCATCGTTAACAGCCTAGGCCTGTCAACAACTTCAGCGTAAGCATGCGTGACCAACAACCTCTCGCTCGTTTCAGAAAATGACACTATTCAGACATACCGTTGTCGGTGCGGGATCAATACAACTTGTTTTGCTAATGAATATTTCATCCCTTGTTTTGCATCACAGGAAGGAGTGCCATTGAAGAGGTGGGCATTGAAATGTGTTTTTTGACGGGTACCACCGGTGGAGCAGGATACGCGAACATTTGGACACATTTCTCGTGATCATGGAAATGCCTTTGTCGCTTACATTTATGGAAGTATTTGACGAATAGTTACCTGATCCTCGTTCTATCGGAGTTGTAGGGCCACGCCTGTCAAGTCCATGTCAAATGGAAGATGTTTTACAGCATGTTTGGTACGATCGCATTGTGGAACGGGGAGGAAAAGATGAAATCTGAAGAATTGTTTTAGATGATTTAAAACATTCAATGTACTGGTCAGTTGGTTTGTTTTTAAAGGAATCACAGGACAAATATTTGGATAAGAAATCATTTCAGATGTATTGAGGGCGCAGAGATGATATATATATGCATAGCTTCAGTGGTGACACAACCTTCCTTATCAAAGAAAGGAAACGTATCTGAGCGAACACAGAAGCGTACAATAAGAAGGTTATAAGGGTTCAAATATCTGGCGAAAAAATATAAAAATACTATAGTTATTTTTACATCTTACTATGATCATTTCACAATTGTTAACATGACGTGTCATGATGCATGGACCGCCTCCGTGATCTAGTGGTAGAGCGTCTGCCCCGAGAGAGGAACGCCTGCCCCGCCTCATACCAAAGGTCGTTAAAAGATGGAACTTATTGTTACCCTCTCTGGCGCTCGGCATTCAGGGGCTAAAGCAAGGACTGGTCGGCTCGGAGTCAGTACACTTGTGGCATTGTGTATTCATAGTACACTTGTGTCTGGGTTGAGTATTTATGTTAAACTGCGGCATGGTATCTCAGTTGGCTAGCATCCAAGGTATCTGGCGTGCTGAAAGGACGCATTTCTGCATAGCGAATTGCGGATCATTTCATTTCTAGGAGGCGAGTGTAATAATGAATAACATAGCTCATTATTGTACGTACAACTACATCAGCCTTCATCTGATTGAAAATAATGATCTTAGCCTCATCAAAAGATCTTAAAATCATTATTGCCATCCTCGTCAGTGCAGGGTATTTCGTGAGCAAAGCCATAATCTTTGACAGAGAGACATGAGCATGAGAGACCGTATGCCTGCTACACTTAATAAATAATCATTTCAAGCCTTTCAGTTCAAGATGCCATATCATGCAAGTCACTGTGTTGTATCCTTAGACAAGGTTACTAACTCCGTTTGTCCCGCTGTGATATGACTAAAACAGTTCTTAACTGTGATGTGCCCATTAAGCATCATTTACTATTGCTTAGAACAACAATACAAGCAACAACATATACACTCTTCAAAAAAAGAAACGCATAGTTAAAAAATAAGGATATTTATTAAGCGGATATAAAAGTATCTACATAGAATGTGCGTGAACACAATCAAATGAAATTAGACACAGTGATCGGCAAAAGCATTGTCGTCATTGTCAGCATTAATTCAGTTCAGTCATTGCACATGTGTAGCCACAAGGGGGCGTCATGGTCAGTACCTGGTCACACCACCTCTTGCAGCCTTCACTGCTCGACACCTCCTTGGCACAGATTGCACAAGTCGTCGGATTTTTTCGTGGGGAATTCTTCGCCATTCCTCCTGTAAGGCGTTGGCGAGTTGTGGCAGTGTGTGGGGACGCTGGTGACGTTGACGGACGCGTCGATCAAGTTCGCCCCACAAATGTTCAATCGGGTTGAGATCAGGCGATTTGGACGGCCATGGAAGGACATTGATGTTGGAACAGCTCCCTCTGGCGGTCCAAAGTTGGGAGGAGGTGAGGACGCAGAATTTGGTCTATGTATCGGTTTGCTGTAAGATTGCCCTTGACAACCACTAATTGTGATCTACCCGTGTAGGATTTGGCTTCCCACACCATGACACCCCCTCCACCAAATCGGTCCACCTGTCGAACGCATTTCGGTGCAAAACGTTCATGTCGACGTCTTCCATCCCGTCGTTGAAGGAGAAAACGTGACTCATCGCTGAACCAAACGCGTCGCCAGTTCCTGAGATCCCATGCCTGTACTCTGTTGCACCACCGGACACATCGTTGACGGTGTAGACGTCGCAAGACAGGTCCAACTTTTGGTCGTCTCGCTCGAATTCCCACTTCCCCCAAACGAAATTCTTCGCATACCACCCACTTGTCCTGCAGTGTCCGTTGCTGTAGCAAATCGATTCCGAAGGTGATGCAACCGGATGTACCGATCCTGAGCAGGGGTGGTCACTCTTGGTCTTCCATTTCTCGGATGATCTTGAGTCGAATTAGTGCGGGTATATCGATCCCATAGTCGAGATATGGTGCTTTGGTGAACGTTGAAGTGTCTTGCAACGGCAGACTTCCCTGCTTCCAAACGTCCAATGGCGATATTTCGGTCAGCTGCAGTTAATCTTGGCATTTTTCGATCTCCGTTCACGTCAGAAAATTCGTAATGAACTGATAAATATTGTATAGTCAGTGTCTCTAATCTTGTTTCCAACGCTTTGCACGTGCATTGTGCTGAAAACTTTTTCTGAAAGCAATATCTGTGCATCCTTTGCATTTTTGCTGATAAACGTTTACAAAAAACATTTTGAGATGTGTTTGCGCGCAATGCACAACAAACATGACATGATTAACGGGAATCCAACATAAGAATTGTCTTTATGACGATTGCTAGGAGAAAAACTCAAATTGGAATTCTCAAAACACCTATGCGTTTCTTTTTTTTTGAAGAGTGTAATTAAATAATAACAGTTTATTGCAATAACCTAAACTGAAGAGTGAGTGAGTGAGTGACTAAGTGAGTAGGATTTTACGCAATATCTCATCGGTTGACACAAGAATTGAGGCAAATTAAATTCACTCATTGTACTCATGTGGGGAATTGAACCCGGGTCTTCGGCATGGCTAACCACTAGGCTACCCCACCGCCCCTAAACTGAAGAGCAAAATCGTTACCAACATTGTCTGTGCCACCAAAAACGAACAGCACACATGTCAAGGAAGATACTTGTATTGTCAAAAGATTAACAATATCATTACAAGTTATGCCGTGAATGAGAAGGAAAATGAAGGTATTGTGCCCACAGTTTGGAAGATGGGGTCAATTGTTCAGTATTCGATCAACCATCAAGACTGAAATCAGCACATGAAACTCCTTATGATCCTTCAGAATGTCACAATTGTCAGTCAATATCGTGTATGCCCACCGCTGGCACCAGTGCAAGCTCTAACACGACGACGGGATGTGAGACGTCTGGTGACAAGAAATGGGATTCGATGCCATTCTTCTCGGAGCATCTTCCCGAGGCAAAAACTAGGCTGGAATTACTGGGCTCGATCGTAGCGCCACCAGTGGCTATTACCAGTTATGTCCCTTCTAAGCCTCTCCTATGGACCAATCAGATTCCATCTCTCGCATCACTTGCGTTTACTTTACGCAAAATGGTGGCGCCGAGTCAGGACGATCTGATCGATAATCAAGATCTATATTGTGATAAAACGGGCCTTACTTCGCGAAATGCATCAAATCACGTGAGAAGCTTGATTAACAACATGAAAAGATTTGGAAAATATCTGCTGACAACGAGTTGGCGGTGCACATGCTTTGCAAATCCTGCAATCGACCGAAATCTGCATGACAGTTTACGAATCGGATTTCGATTTCGGTGCGCGATTTTGATTGGACTATGCATAGACTCGTTAATCCAGCCAAAATGTAACTCCATGATACCAGCCTAGTTCGGCAAGGGTGGAAACTGGACTTTTATACTCAGTTAACTCCCTTGCCTCGGGAAGAAGAAGACCGCCTCCGTGGTCTAGTGGTAGAGCGTCCGCCCGGAGAGCGGAAGGTCCAGGGTTCGATCCCAGGCCGCGTCATACAAAAAGACGTTAAAAGATTGTACTTGTTGTTACCCTGTCTGGCGCTCGGCATTAAGGGGCTAAAACAAGGACTGGTCGGCTCAGAGTCAGTATACTGTGTCTGAGTGGGGTATTCATGTTAAACTGCGGCATGGTATCTCAGTGAGCTAGCACTATAAATCGGCATCAGTCCGGACTAGTACAAGCAGCCACACACACACATACACGTGCATGCACGTCGCTATATAAGTGCAATAATCTTGGACGCGACGTTAAACCCAATTTCACCTCACCTCACCTCGGGAAGAAGACTCGGAGAGGCTGTGCTAACTATTCCCTGTTATAAGACTTAACTGGTCGTGCTCTTATGTGTTGGTCAAGGTGATACCACCATGTGTTCTATAGGTGATAAGTCTTGTAATTGTGCTGGCCAATGCAGAACGTTGTATGGAGTCTTATGCTATCTTGCTGAAACCAGTTCCGGTGATCCTCTTGCAAGAACGGAAGTAGAACCGGGCGGAGAACTTAGTCAATGTAACGCTGATCAGTGATATTTTCTTCATTAATTTCCAGATCTTTCTTGGCTTAGCCACACATTCAACCCAAACTATAATACTGCCACCTCCAAACAGTTCGATGTCTTGAACGCAACGACGTTCGTCCTCCGTATCGGCAGAAGACACGAGTTCTACCATCTGCTCTGAAAATCTGGAATCCTGCTCTCGCCTGTGAACATGACTGTTGGCCAGTTTCTGTTCTGACAGTATCGCACTGTTGGAGCCCACAGATATCTTTGACGCCTCGTAGTGATCAGTAAGTCCTGATTGCATTGTTTTCTGGACTCCGGGAAGGTCAATGTCTGATTATAAGGAGGATACGTAAGCAGAATATTGCTGAGTTACAGTCACTCGTTGTTGCTATCATTTGTAAAGATATTATTTCAACTCATTTTGTATTCTTCACAATGGAACAATAAAGTCTAATGTCGACCGTGTTCCTAATATGAAATCAGTTAAATAATACCACTAGGGTAGAAACGCC